CTCTGAGTTTTTGTGAATGTGTAGCGTCAGTCACAATATTCAAAATAGATGATCATTTTCAAATGCCTCAGTCTTCATTCGGTCAAAACCATTTTTTCAGCAATGATCAGGAAGTGGTTGTGTTGTATACAACCAGCAAATTCTGAACGGGTTTGGCGCCATATCTATCTATCTATCTATCTATCTATCTATCTATCTATCTATCTATTTATCTATCTATCTATCTATCTATCTATATATATATATATATATATATATATATATATATATATATATATATATATATATATATATATATATATAAACAGCCTCTTGATATATGATTAATTCTGTCAAACTTAATCTGTTAACTTCTATTTATATATATCTAACTAGTTCAACCTGAATCAGTCTCTTCATATATGTGAGTGTGTGTGTGTGTGTGTGTGTGAGTATGTCTCTATCTTTCTCTCTCTCGATATATATATATATATATATATATATATATATATATATATATATATATATATATATGTATATAGTCATCCACATACAAGCCTGTTTCATTGTATCACAGCTCATCAGTGTGGATTGATATCCGATTGCTTCAAGCCGGGTTCGAAATCTGACCGATTTGGAATCAGTCAGAAATCCTACTGGTAAACTATCGGCGCACGCCAGACAAAGGTAAATTCTAACTATTCTGCGATATATATATATATATATATATATATATGTGTGTGTGTGTGTGTGTGTGTGAAAAATTTCCCAGAGTTAACCTGTAGAAAAAGACAATATGTATAAAGGTAAAAGACAATAGGAAAACTGTATTATTAGCCGCTGCGTTTCGTCCAATGTGGACTTTTTCAAGGCAAAAACGAAATGAATTTATTATTTATTTATAAATATATAAATTATTTATTTATATAAAAGTTGCTTTGTTTTAATAAATTACGTTTTTGCCTTGAAAAAAATTGAAGAAATATATATATATATATATATATATATATATATATATATATATATATATATATATATATATAAATTTAAAGGAAAACAGACCACTTTCAGGTCCCATTATAATAATTTATTTCACCAGAGTCCTTTTAAAGGACGCCGGATCATCAGATAGCTCTTCCAAAAATGAAATGAAATTAAAAATGATGGGTAGTGTAATTTTTTGTAATTTAACAGAGAGTGTAAAAGGAGTAGTTAAAGAGACATGGTACAGTTTATGGAGGGATTAACTTCATATCTGTCTCAAGCATACTTTGTATTGGGGGAGGAGGAGTGACCAGACCTTGACCTATTTAGATGACTAACTTAACGGAAGTGATATATTGAAATGGGAGGGGAGAAGGGAGAAAAGAAAAAGGAAAAAAGAAAGAAGAGAGAGAGAGGGAAGTAAAGAGAAAGAGACTTAATTGGGATTTAGCAATTTATATAATTTATATAATATATATATATACATACACACATATATATATATATATATATATATATATATATATATAATCATATTTCTCTATCTTTCGTCCTAAATTCACTCCTATGTCAAAGAAAAAGAATACAGATAAACATAATAAACGCGCATTTTCGTTCTATAAAATATCTGTAAAAACACACGGCGTTCTAGTATAAACCGAAACTCCCCAACGGGATTTATAAATTTGGTGTGTTGGGTGACCATTACCTCCCCAGTTGCACTCAGTTGTGAACCTTTGAAATTATAACAAATCAAGAGTATCAAAATTAGATTAACATCGTTTTGAGATAATCTATTTATGCATTTGGGATACCGGGATATTGACAGGAAACAAAATTCCGGTTTAAGTAACACCTGCTTAAGCAACACCTAATAAGGTTAGCTTTCAGTGGTATTATGCAATCTAACTTCTCTTCAAATTGTTAAATCATTATTTAAACTCTTCATGAATACTATTCTATTGTTCTCGCTTCATAATAATGTTTCTTTTTCTTATTGTTTCACACTCATTAACTCATTGTGTCATGATGGCTTTACTGTCTTGCACTGGGTGAGTTGATTTTTTTTAAAAATACATTCTAAATAGTTACCATGAATTTGGTAATTATTCTCTGTCTGTGATGAATTTGTCATGTTTAGTCAGACATTTATGCTGAAATAAAAAAAATCCCGAATTCTTCATTCAAATTTTATTTGCGTCTAAAACATCGGAGTGTCTTATAAGCAGCGAAATACGTTATCTATCTATCTATCGATCTATCTATCTATCTATCTATCTATCTATCTTAGTCTATTCCTTATCTATCTATCTATCTATCTATCTATATCTATCTTGATATCTTGATATCTATTTATCTATCAGGCTGTTCATATCTCTTTATCTATCAGTTTGTATCTATCTATCTATCTATCTATCTATCTATCTATCTATCTTAATATCTGTCGATCTTAATATCTATCTTGATATCTTGATATCTATTTATCTATCAGGCTGTTCATATCTCTTTATCTATCAGTTTCTATCTATCTATCTATCTATCTATCTATCTATCTATCTTAATATCTATCTTGGTATCTATTTATCTATCAGGCTGTTCATATCTATCTATCTATCTATCTATCTATCTATCTATCTATCTATATATATATATATATATATATATGTATATATTTACATATATTACTGAGATCCGTTCATATCTATCTATTCTCATTTGTTTATATCATTCTATCTATCATTCTGGTCATATATATTCATCTCTCTCTCTCTCTCTCTCTCTCTCTCTCTCTCTCTCTCCCTCCCTTCCTCCATCCCCCATTCTGATCATAGCTATCTATGGATCTCTAATTCTCGTCATATCTATCTATCTATCTATATATATATATATATAAATATAAATATAAAAGTGAACATAGAAGTCAACACTTAGAGGCGACAGTCTGTTTCATGCTATATGCAATCGTCAGGCCACGTGTGCTGTTATTTTTCTCGGCTATTTATATATATACGGGTTAGTGGTGCATTGTGGGTATTCTATTATGGCGGTTATTTTTACCGGAAGTCGCTTTGTTCATTTATTTGGGTCAAGTTATATTGCTCGTTTTTATTTATTTTTTTATTTTATTTTATTTTATTTTATTTATTTATTTATTTTTTTGTTTCTTATTTTATTTATTTATTTATTAACGTAGTAAAAATTTGTTTATATCACGTATTTAACAGTTTTGTTTTGGTTTGAGAATTTAATTAAAGCTATTTGTTCAATTTTGGGGTTGGTTGTTGTAGTTCATTCTAACTATTATTTTTTTGGCGGGAACAGTTTTTTAATTTGGGAAACTTTTTTTTTTTCAAACTCTTACACAAACACTTCCCAGAATCAAGTACCTTACACAAGATATTCAACAAAAATACAGTAAAAATCAGCTACAGCTGCACCGAGAGCATGGCACAAATAATAAAAAAGCACAATAGGAAAATTATCAACAAACCACACGAACAAATTATACCCACGTGCAACTGCAGAATAAAGAACGAATGTCCCTTAAACGGAAATTGTCTACAAAACAACGTAATATACCAAGCCACGATAAAATCACCAGATAACGAAGAAAAAGTATACATAGGAGTAACTGAAGGACCCTGGAAGCAAAGAAATTATACACACAAAACATCGTTCACAAATAGTAAATACGCGAACAGTACTATGCTTTCTAAGTATATCTGGGAAATAAAAAACAAAACGCACATCACACCAAAAATATCTTGGAAGATAAGGAAAAAGTCATCAGCCTATAACAACCAATCAAAAACTTGCAAACTTTGCTTGGAGGAAAAAATAGCTATCATTACTTTCCCCGACCAAAATAAATTATTAAATAAAAGATCCGAGCTCATCTCAAAATGCAGGCATGAAAATAAATTTTTACTACGTAACCTAAAAAATGAAAAACGGAAAAAATAAAATAAAAACAAATAAAATAATAATAAAAAAAAAAATAAATAAATAAAATAAATAAATAAGTACTATGTTGCTTAAAAA